TAATAGATTAATGGATTTCAAATTTTTAAACCTAAACACACAGAATTGACCAATTTGAATGTTTTTAGTGGGTTGTGAAACAAGACTTACTTTTCTGTTGCCATCTTAAACCAAGGCCTATACATGTCTAATTTGAGACTAAAAAGATCTCTCTGCCTTTGTAGTAGATGTACTTTTCCTATTCCTCCAAGTACAGCTAAAAACACTGGGCATTAAATACAGAAGAAATATGAGACTGAAAAGTGGAGAGAAGAAAGTAGACTGGCTAGATGTATGGGGACCTGAGAAATGATGCAGGGCTGAGTTTCCTGGGTTTTCTTTTTGCCCCATACATCCCAGCCTTGGGCCTGGAGAAACCAGCAACCCAGCAACACCAAAGGGCTCAGACAAGCCCCAAGAAAAGCCAAAAGACCAGGAAAGAGACAGCCTGCCAGACAGGACATTTTTAGAAAACATTGTAGCCCCTGTCTCACTCTTACTATCAAAGGCAGGGTGGGGAATCTAGACTTTACCCTTGACAGTCTGTATTGAGACACTCTGTGCTTGGTGGTATCAGTACGGAGCTGGGATTTTCATCTCTGTTCGGTGGTAACAAAGAACACCCTCCTTCCTGTTGGGATGGCCTCAGAAGAAACTTAGTAGAGATTCAGGAGTTTTACCATCACCCGTGGTAATGAGGCCGTGTAGGGTACAGTAACAAAGCACCCCTGGTTCAGCGCCTGTGATATGAGTAGAGGCCAAGGGAGAGGCTGAACTCTAACCCCGCCTGGCATTAATGAGGAGTACTTCCACCCAGATGAGTGGAAGCTGAGTGGGAAGCCCTCACTTCCATCTCCACCTTCTACATCCACCTGGCAGAAACACGGCCGCACCCTTGTTTGCCTGCTGGGGCAATGTCAGAAGAGGCCTGCTGTAACAGAAGACTGAAACCAGATCCCACGCCTGATAGCAGTGCCCACAATATTGAGGCTTAAGTGACAAGTATTTTAAAGCAGCCATCATAAAAGTTTTTCAATGAGGAACTACTAACACTTGAGGCAAATGAAAAACAGAAAATCTCAGGAAGAAAATATAGGCTATAAAGAAGAAACAAATGGAATTTTAGAACTGAGAAGTACAGTAAATGAACTTGTGGAATCAGTTCACTGATTCTTTTCCTGTCCTTTCCATTCTTCCAACAGCAGAATGGAGAGGACAGAGGAAAAGAATCAGTGAACTTGAAGATAAAACAATAGAAATTACCCAATCTGAACAGTAGAAAATAGACTGGAAAAAAGTAAACAGAACCCCAGGGACCTGTGAGACTTTAACAAGAGACTCTTATCATCAGAGTCCCAGAAAGAGAGGAGAAAGCGAGGCTGAAAATATGTTTGAAGAAATACTGGTTGAGTATCTCCCAAATTTGGCAAGCCATAAACTTACAGATTGAAAAAGTTTAGTGAAATCCAGGCAAGATAAACTCAAAGAAATCTATGCTGAGACACATCATAGTCAAGCTTCTGAAACCAAAGATGAAAAAGCAGCAAGAGAGAGAAATGTCCCTTTACCTATAGTGGATTTCTCATCGCAAACTACAGAGGCCAGAAGGAAGTAGCACATTTTTCAAGTGCTGAAGGAAAAGAACTATCAACTTAGAATTCTCTATCAAGTGAAAACATCCTTCAAATGATTTGTCACCAGCAGACCTACCCTAAAATAATAGGTAGAGGAAATTCTCTAAACAGAAAGGAAATCATTTGGGAACACCAGGAAGGAAGAACAAACAATGGAAAGAAAAAATCAATTGGTAAATTCAGTAGACTTCCTTATCTGAAATTAGGTTTGAAGGTTGAACCATAGCCGTCTGATGTGGTTCTTAGTGTGTATAGAGGAAATACTAAAGATGATTGTGTTATAAATGGGGAGGGCAAAGGGACACAGAGGAAGTAAGGCTTCTACACTTTACCATGAACTGGTAGAAGTTGATGATCAGCAGACTGTGATAAGTTGTAAAGAGTTAATGAAAATCTAGAGCAGCCACTAAGAAAAATTATACGAAAGAGAGAAACTCAAAAACTAGATAAGTCAAAATGAAATTCTAAAAAATGTTCAAATAACCTACAAGAAGGCAGAAGAAAGAAACAAAATGAGAGAACAAACAGAATGAATTACGCACTATGCCCAAGTGGGATTTATTCCATGGATGCAAGGTTAGATCAATATTTGAAAATCATCAGTGTAGTTGACCTTAAAAAAAGCCATATGATCATATTAAATGATGCAGAAAAAACATGACAAAATTTAATACTTATGAAACTCTCAAAACATGAATAATAGAGGGGGACTTTCTCAATTTGATAAAACAATATTTACCCAAAACCTACAGCTAGCATCATACTTAATGGTGAAAACTGAATATTTTTACCTTGAGATCAGAATAACGCAAGGGTGTTTGCTATCACTTTCTAATTCAACAGAATACTGGAATTTCTAGCCTGATCAATAAGATAAGAAAAGGAAATAAAGGCATACAGATCAGAAAGGAAGAAGTAAACTGTTCTTTTTTTACATGACATAATAGTCTACAGAGGAAATGCCAAATAATCTATAAAAAAATCTCGAACTAATAAATGAGCTCAACAAGAACGTAGGATACAAGCTCAGTACACAAAAATCAATTGTATTTTTGTATACCAGCAATTAACATGTGGAGATGGAAATAAAAATACAGTGTCATTTAAAATTGCTCAAAAATAAAAGTATAATCTTCAGGGTAATTTAGAATGTATGTGTAGAAATTTTATGGGAAAACTACAAAACTGAGGGAAGAAATCAAAGGCGATCTAAAACCTATGTACCGTGTTCATAGATTGGAAGTCTCAACATAATAAAGATGCCAATTCTCTCCAAATTGGTAAACAGATTAAACACAATTCCTATCAAAATCCTATCAGGATTTTTGTAGGTATGGACAAGATTATTCTAAATTTATATGGAAGGGCAAAGGAACTGGAATAGCTAAGACATTTTGAAAAAGATGTAAGTGATAGGAATCACTAATTTCAAGACAGCACAGAACAACGGAACAATAGGGAACCAAGAAATAATCCCATAGGAATAAAGCCAATTGATTTTCGATCAAGATGCCAAACTTTCTCAGTTTAGTGTAGGATGGATAGTCTTCAGCATATGGTGCTAGAATAATTGGATATCACCAGAAAAAAACGAAAACAAAACAAAAAAAACCTTGATCTAAACTTCACATCTTATAAAAATATCAGCCCCAAATTAGCTCATAAATTTAGATGTAACCTATAAAACTAAAATTTTAAGAAGAAAACATAGAAAAAGTTTGGGATTTAGGGCTGGTCAAAAGTTCTTAGGCATGACTCTAAAATTATGATCCTTAGAAGAAAAATAATTGATCAATTGGACTTCATCAAAATTTAAAAGTTTGGGTAGAGTGGAGTTTGTGTGAATTATATCTCAATAAAGATTTTTAAAAATCTTTAGTTTTTTTTTTTTAAACATACAGCAGTCTCACTCTTGGGCCTTCATCCAAAAGAAGTAGAGACTTAAGTTCACACAATAGCCTGCATGTTATTGTCATAGTAGCTTTATTTACAATAGTAAGAAACTGGAAAACACCAGAATTTTTTGCAATAGCTGCACGGTTAAGACAGCTGTACCTCATCCACACTGGAACAGCACCAGCAATCCAAAGGAGGTGGCTGTTGGCTCACATGGCAAGGGGACAGGTCCTGTGAGTGCTAAGCTCAGAATCTTCAGAGGGCACATACTTTGTGTTTGGCATTTGTATAACGTTCTATGACAGCAAAGTTGGGGGATGTATGGCTGTGGGGTGGGCTTCAGAAAAGGTGGGATACTCTACACCTTACAGAGTGAGGACCCAAAGATACTGTCAGTAGTTGAAGAAGGAAGAAACATAAGTACATACTTAAATTACATGCACTAAAATAGATAGATTGAGAGAAGGAGGGACCAATAAGAGCAAAAAATGAGTAGGTAATGTCCAAGACGTAAATCTGCAGTTGAAGAAGGAAAATCTCATGTGTAAATATATTTCTTAGAATCGTATTAGCTGGGACTTCCCTTTTGGTCCAGTGGCTAAGACTCTGCACTCCCAGTGCAGGGGGCCCGGGTTCATTCCTTGGTCAGGGAACTAGATCCCACATGCTGCAACTAAAGATCCTGCACATGGCAAGAAAGATCCCGCGTGCTACAACTAAGACATGGCGCAGCGGAAAAAAAAAAAGCTAACAGTGATGTGATTATACTGGGAGGAGGAATTGATAATAGCAGGAAATGAGTAGATAATGTCCAAGATGGGTAAAGGAAAATGTTTGCATTATGTGGATATTGGAATGCCGTGCAGGTATGCTGTGTAACGGCGGCCCTGACCACAGGTGTGTACTGGGAACATGGCTGGTTCCAAGCAAGAGGCATTGTGAGTATGAAGGAAAACGGGGAGCTTACGAACTGAAATACCCTGTTTGTGTTTTTTATGTTGACTAAAATGATATTATTTTAAACATATTGGGTTAGATCATTAGAATTTCACTTGTTCTTTTTTTAATGTGGCTACTAGAAAATTTATGATTACATGTGTGGCTTGCATTGGATTTCTCTTGGAGGGCATTGCTCTAGAATCTGTAGCCTGGAAAATTCAATTAGGATTGGTTCCCTCCGGGGAGTGGGCTGAGTCTGCCGAGAGTGGGCTAAGGGAGAGTTGTTATTTTAAGCCCTTCTTTGCTGTTTGATTTTTTTTAAAGGATGTTAGTGAAGTTTGATAAAAAGTTACCTCTTTAATAAAGGCTGTGGTCTCTACCTTAAAACATGATAATTTATCACATTCTAATTTACATAATAAATGTTAACATAGTAAGGAAATTTGCAATGAGAAGTAATCATCTATTTTTCCTTCATTTCAGTTTGCTGTATCAGAAATAAAGTACTTGTTTTTCCTGCTCCTGTTTAGCTTCTTGCAGGAGTGACCAGGATATCACCTTTCAGAAGTAATGCCCACAGAAAGCGGGAGTTGTTCAACTGCTCGCCAAGCAAAACAGAAACGCAAATCTCACAGCCTTTCCATACGAAGAACTAACAGCTCAGAGCAGGAGAGGACTGGCCTGCCGAGAGACATGTTAGAGGGACAAGTGAGTGTCTGGTGAAGATGTGGATCATGTTTGCAGTGTTTCAAACATAGCCAAATATATGCAGGTCTCCAAAGTAGAGAAAAAGTGTGGGTTACCAAAACACACAGCCTCCCTCATAAACCAGTTAAAACTGCTGTCAACAGCTTACACAGAGACAGAATTCGGTTTCCAGGTTAATGTGTTTACAGTACTTAATAAAAAATGTGGGTGTGACAGTTTGGACTAGTTTTTATTCTTTGTACAGGTGAATTGACAGTGTAGTTTTAGGTTTTCTGTCTTAGAGTCTCCAGAAGAGAAGAGAATCAGGTATAATGATCTCCTTCTATTCTCTGCAGAGTTTTTGGAATCTGATCTTTCAATAACTTTTCTTGGCTTTATCCTGTGTTTGCTGTAGTTGAGTGTGTTATCTCCTGCTTATTACATTATGTCTTGGTGATAATTTGGTACCACCTTTGATTAAATGAGCTAATATTTTATTGATAAGTTTGCTTTTACTTTTCCTAGTTGCTTTATGATGAAGAAAAATGTTAGATTTTTAAAAGAACATTGTCGTGAAGCCTAAATAAAATACATGTTATAATAAAATAAATTATAGCTACATCTGCTATATCTTTACATAGGCGTAAGTATATACGTAAAAAAAATAAATACATATAAATTTATAATCATTGTTTTGCAATTAGAACTAATTCATCAGCCATAATGTTAAAGGAAAATATGGCTTAAATCTGAGAAACTGGCTCATTTGCATATTGACTTTGTTAGAAGCAAGCTGGGATGTGGAGGATGTGTTTCTAGGAGGCAGCTATGTGTGCTTGGAACCTAGCGCTGCCTTTGCTGGCATGTGGTAAACGTTCACTTAGTGTCCTCTTATGTGTTGACTGGATGAATAAATGAAATGGTTGCATTTTAGCTTAAATTTGGAAATAAAATCATAGATTTAAGGAGCCTCCAAAATGGCTTTGATGTTTTTCGTGAGCCCGGATGGCCGTAGCAAAGCATCGCAGACTGGGAGCTTAAACTGCAGACACTGCTTACTCCCTGTCCTGGAGGCAGAAAGCTGGAGGTCCAGGTGTGGGCAAGTTGGTCCTCCTGAGGCCTCTCTCCTGGGTGTGGATGCCATCTTCTCCCTGTGTCCTCACAAGGTCGCCCCTCTGTGGGTGTCTGTGTTCTGATCTCTTCTTATAAGGAATGTTTGAATCAGAGCTGTGCAGTGGAACTTCTGTGATGGAATGTTGTAGATCTGTGCTATCACATATGGGAACCAAGAGCCACATGTGGCTAGTGGGACTGAGGAATTTTAAAAATTGTAATTAACTTACTTTTAAGTTTAGTCAAATGTGGCTGTTGGCTACCCCCTTGGATAGTGCAGGTAGTCTAAGATACTTGTAAGTTGTTAGATTTACTTAAATTTCAAGCAGTGACAATTCCACAGCCGTCTCTGCTGGCATCTTCTGTTGGTAACACCATGTTCTCAGGGCCTTCTGCGCTGTCCCTGTTGTGATGTAGAGCCAGCAGGTAGTTGCATCTTGGGGTAACCCTTTATGAGGGTCATTCAGAACCCTGCGGGCGGGTCGGTGCCTGCTGGTGGACGAGGAGCTCCCTTGCGGGCTGGTGAGGGTGCTCTGCCCAGTTCCGTGGCAGCAGGACCGTGGTGACGGCTTTGGGCATGGGCACTTGGCATGGTAGGCGAGGGGCGGACCTCGGGTGCGAGAGGCCAATGATCAGGGCATCTGAGTGGAGCCATAGGTCATTACCCTAGACAGGGTTGCAGTCAAGCTGTCAATTTTTGGGGAGTCTTTATGGGAATTTTGTGTCTTGGATTCATGAGTCAGAAGCATTTGAGGCACTGGTGCTTGGCTCAGAGGTGGGAGGCCCGTGTCTACACCGGGAAGCATCAACTGAGTCTGGGAAAGGGGCCTCCTGCCTCCTCTTTCACGTCGGCTGTGACAAAACACAGATTCTTTTAGAACTTTACTGAATCGTAGCTTTTGTGTCATGAGTTTTCTCAAATGATACCAGAAGTTCAGCACCTCTCACTTGGGGGCAACTGCAGAGCTGGGCTGTGCTCCACTTAACCTCTGGTGGAGAAGTTCCCCTTTCACTGCACGTCTCCTTCTTGATTGTCTTTATTTTCTCAAGTGAAGTTAATGCTGACATTGTCTCCCTTTGCGATTACATCTTACATGAAGCTGCATTTACCATTCGAAGTAAAGGTAACGTTTCAGTTGCTGAATAATGACCTTAACATTAAATACTGTGAGGGTAGGTGAGTAGGAATTGATACACGGAAGAGGAGATTGGCCTTGGGAGGGGCTAGCAAGGCTCTCAACCCATGCCGCCCCCGCCCTCTCGAGGAGGGCTAAGTGGATGAGGGGTACGGGAGAACGGGCAGGGGGAGCCCACAGGCAGGTGGACAGGGTGTCAGACATTAATTGTGATGGTTTATTTTGCGTTCATTGTTATTTTAAGATGTCGTTTCTTTTTTTTTTTCATGATTTTCATTGGTATTTTAGAGGGGTGTTGAGAGAGGCTTTTTTTCCCATGATTTTCATTGGTATTTTAGAGGGGTGTTGAGAGAGGCTTATCACCAATTCTCCCAGATTGAATTTTTAAACAAGTGGCGTCACATATCTTTAAGTAGCTTGTAAAGTTGACGTTCATGTTCTGTGATTATTTCAAAACATGTTGCTAAACGTTGGTATCATTACAGATCATTTTGCCTAAAATTCCTGTCTTCCTAAGAAGTTAATCTGAGAAAGGATTTAATAAACATTATGTCTTATTTTTGTATTTGCAACTCATTAAACATCAAAAAGTTTATGCTGCATATAAATTTGAAAACTCACTTGGAAAATTACACTGGCATCAGTTAACCATTGAAACATTATTTTAGAACTGTCTTTTAAAAATTTTGTTTGAAAATAACTCTTAAGTGGTAGGGTGGGGCACATACAAAATATTGTTTAGGCCGCACCCTCAGGAGGTTGGAGTGGAACATAGCCTCTGTCAGTACCAGCAGTGCCTGGAAAGTGAGTGCCTGAGAACACAGTTGGTGCCTAGGACACCGAGCCCAGGAAGCTGCTGCTGCTGCTTCCTTTGCCTTCCCGCCCGGTGGGGGCAGGGTGCTGGTGGTGGGCAGAGCACCTGCGAAGGCCTGGGAGCTTCCACGTGGGTGTTTTCATTTAGCCAATACACGTTTTGCTCTTACAGCTGAGAGTTCTTTTCCCTCCTTATAATAATCTTGTAGGTATTGAGTAGAGTTACAGGAAATGATCCAGTTTATTTTGCTTGAAGCACAGTGAACATGAGGACTATAAGGTACATCTTCTATTAGTAAACAGCTTATTAAAATGGATTTATAATACCATATGCTAGAGCTTAAAGGCTTTTTATAACTTCATTTTCTACAAATTTGGGAGTTTTTGAATAAGGTATGCTTATTTCTTTCCTTGTGAAAGGAAGTTACATGTTTGAAGACGTGCTTGGTCTTAAATCTCATGCCATCCTGGGTAACCATTTATACAATTTGATTTTAGTTTCATGTGTAGAAATTAGAAACTTTAAGTTCTTTGAGTGTTTATGTATAAGAAATAAAATATGTAAAGATGTAAAATAAGAGTTTAAATAATTCACTTTGGAAAAATTATATTGGTGCTTAGTGTCAGAGTTTCTTGTTCACTCATTTTGTTCATTTTAAGCAGAATCTTCTTTTTCTGCAGGATTCTAAACTGCCTTCCTCGGTTCGCAGTACTCTTTTGGAACTGTTTGGTCAAATAGAAAGAGAATTTGAAAACCTTTATATTGAAAACTTAGAATGTGAGTATCTCTCTTATTTCAAATACTTTTATAACTTTTCACTTCTCCATACAAATATTTGAGAGTTTAATTTGTGGGTAGACATTCACCTTTGTATTCCTTTTCTGTTCTGCTTTGACAAACTTTAGGGGCTCAGGATGGCACACGTTTATTATCTGCCTGCTCTGCACACTCAAGTCAGGGTGTTGGCAGAGCTGTGCTCTTTCTGGAGCATGAGGAGGAGTGTGTCTCCTGCTGGTTTGGGTTGTGATCTCAGTTCCCTGTGGTGTGAAGACAGAGGCCCCCATCTTGCTGGCATTCCCCCTGTCCTTGGCTTGATGGCCTTCCTTCCTCTTTATCTTCAAAGCCATCAGTGGCAGGCAGAGTCCTCCTTGTTCATTTCTGACTCACTCCTAGGGACACGGGGCAAGGATGGGCCGCCTGGGTCACACAGCATCATCTCCCATCAGAGGTCCTTCACCTCAGTCACACCTGCAGGGCTCCTTTGCCACCAGGTCATGTGTTCACAGGTTACCTTTGGGGCAGGCGGTATTCTGCTGACCACACCTGGCAGTCTGAATTATGATTTTATGAAGAACGAATGCATCTTATAACTTTCCCTAGACAAAGTATACTATAAACTAAGAAAACATTGATTCATTTCTTTAAAATATACTGTGTTTAGAGAATTTCCTAAAATGTGTGTATTATCTGTTTGACTTATTAAAGGTAAATCAAAAGAATTTTTAATTAGCTTGGCTTTAGGCTTTTTTTTTTTTAATTTTAGAAACAATGCATTCATTTGCTTAAAGAGTCAAACAGTGTAAGAAGGAAAGATCTACCTTTACCCCCTGCCTATAGGCCCATCCCACACTGCAAAGGAAAACATTTTCTGCATATTTTGCTTTTAGTTCTTCTCACGATAATTTTTGTTTTGTTTTGGACTTTATCCTCTTTTTTAAAATATCTGTTAAGTTTTAAGGGCATACTTTCCAACTTTCCAGCCTAAACATTTAAGCAGTGATTTTGATACAGAGACTTCCACTTTCTCTGAATCCAGGGATGCTGCCCAGATGCTAGTTTAGAGTTGGGCAGGTTGGGAAGTCCCTGGCACGTCTGATCCATTACCTGTGTCATTCACCATAGCAGTTTTTTTTTTTTTTTTTTTTTTTTTTTTTTTTGTGGTACGCGGGCCTCTCACTGTTGTGGCCTCTCTCATTGCAGAGCACAGGCTCCGGACGCGCAGGCTCAGTGGCCATGGCTCACGGGCCCAGCCGCTCTGTGGCATGTAGGATCTTCCCAGACTGGGGCACGAACCCGTGTCCTCTGCATTGGCAGGCGGACTCTCAACCACTGCGCCACCAGGGAAGCCCCATAGCAGTTTTTGATGAAAGGTTTTTCTAATTGCTTTTCCCTGGGAATGATTTTCCCCACGCAGCTGTCCTTCCTTTCTCCTACATGTTGTCCTGTCCTGGCAGCCAGATCATCAGATCCTAAGAGGAGGGACGGGGAATTTTCTCCATGTGTCTCTGGAGCTGGTAGCCAGGCATCCACGGCCACAATTAAGAAAGCAGAGGTCAGAAAGGCAGGGTCCGTCTGTGGGCTGCCTTGGCTTTTTGGTCATGATAATTTTTGTAAATTGAAATAATCTTCTATTTTAGCCATGTCAGCCTTAGGCCACATGCATTCATGCTTCACTGTCAAGCGTTGGGAAATGAACCTGTCCTTCTTTACCCTCTCACTGTTCCATTATCTTCAGTTTTTGTTATTTTTTAAAAAAAATTTTTAAAAATTTATTTATTTATTTTTGGCTGCATTGGGTCTTTGTTGCTGTGTGTAGGCTTTTTCTAGTTGCTAGGCTTTTTCTTCGTTGTGGTGCGCAGGCTTCTCATTGCAGTGGCTTCTCTTGCTGCGGAGCACAGGCTCTAGGCGTGCGGGCTTCAGTAGTTGTGGCACGTGGGCTCAGTAATTGTGGCTCGCGGGCTCTAGAGTGCAGGCTCAGTAGTTGTGGTGTACGGGCTTAGTTGCTCTGTGACATGTGAGATCTTCCCGGACCAGGGCTCGAACCCGTGTGCCGTGCATTGACAGGCAGATTCTTAACCACTGCGCCACCAGGAAAGTCCAGTTTTTGTTATTTTTATAGAGCTTGTGTTTATAAAATTTATATTATGCAAATGTAACCATAATCAGGATTTTCATGTTTTTTAAGTTGTTTCCAAAAATTGAATACTAATAAACAGCATTTGCATTGTTAAAATATTTTTCACTCTGGAAGTAATTGGTGTGGATCAGTGGTGAAGACAGTGTAATCCTGTGTCATTTAAACTTTGCTGTTGGAAAATTTAATGTTTTAATATTGGATTCTCTTATAAGTCCACCTTGAAAATTTACAGAGTGAGTAATTATTCCAACTTTTTATCAAATAAAAATTAGGTACTGTGTACTGCATCTGATTTTAAGGGTTTGTTATCAGAGTTGTAGCAACCCAGGTATTGCTGAATTTCCATTGTGATCTAAGGCCTTATGTTTTATGAGTTGATGCAGTTTGTTCAAGAAAAACTATAGGATTACAAACGACTAATGCTGGAGGTACTTCGAGTTTACACTGTCAGTTGCTTAATGGTTTTGGTGGCTTCCTGCTGCCTGTGAACATGTCCAAATGCTCAGGCTGGATCTGTTCCGAGCCTTTTGCCCTCGGCCTTCCTTCCATACCACCCTCCCCGCCCTCCCTGTTGCCTCAGCACACTGTGGGCAGCCTGGGCGGCGGCAGGCGCAGAGTCCAAGTGCTGGCTGCATGTGCGGCTCATGGGATCTCAGTTCCCTGACCAGGGATTGAACTGGGCCCTGAGAGTGAGAGCGCCGAGTCCTAACCACTGGATTGCCAGGGAACTCCCAAATATTAATTTTTGTTTGTTTGCTTTTTTTTCTCCCTTGAATTTTTAATCTTTGAGGTATATAATCCTCACTGTGCTCTGTGGTGCCAGGCAACAATAGTTAGCTTTTGTTATTGTATGTTTTTTCCCCCAATTTCAGTGTTCTCAGCTAGACTGTAAGTGTTTCATTGAGTTTTGGACAGTGTCAGAATAACATTTTTAAGTGCATTGAATAAAGTACAAAGGACACGAATTATGTTGAAATCCAAGAGCCCTGGTTGAGGACCCGATAGCACAAGGTCTTTCTGGTGTGGGAAGTGGGGTGGGCTTTTTAATTTTGGAATGATGTCTTGAGTTTTTTGGAACTCTGTAAATGTGACCTTGTTTACTGGGATATCATTCCTGTGTTTGTTCAGACAGTACTAATGTATAACATTTTTATGTGTTCACTTTTGGATTTGGTGAATATACATCAAAAGTACATGTTTTACTTTTCAGTGCGCAGAGAAATTGAGACTCTTAATGACCGTTTAGCTGCCGAAGGACAAGCAATCGATGGGGCAGAGCTGAGTAAGGGCCAACTCAAAACCAAAGGTAAGGCTGCCTTCCCACAGGGCTCGCCCTACACATTACACTTGGAGGGAGTTTGGAATTTAGTGGAGGACAGGACTCACTTCCTTTCTGCAGTCATCAGGACTTGGAATAATGTAATTTGGGTGTGGGTGTAGAAGGAAGAGGAGGTTTTGGGAAGCCCCGTGTCCCATGCCCCTGGCTTGCATTGTCCTCCCGTGTGGAACAGAAGGTGGGGCGAGCTGTCTCCCTGTCCCAGCTCTGACCTTCATGGTGCTTTGGTTGTGTGATTGTCTTGACGGTTGGTTCTGTGTCTCTGTAGCCAGTCACAGTACCAGCCAGCTTTCTCAGAAACTGAAGACCACCTACAAGGCCTCCACCAGCAAGGTACGTGTGGCTCTCAGCCTGTCACGTGTATGTAGGGTGTGCACATATGTGCGATAGAGAGAAACCTAATTTTTAAAAGGAGTATTGTTGATGTTAAGTGGCCACAGTGCATAGACACCTGGAGGTTACCTTTGTTACTGCGGCTGATACATTATGTGTTAGTGTGGTTTTTTTTGTGGGAAAGTACATTTTGTATTGTTATTTGGCTTGATATGGAGATTCTGAATTTGGAGAAGCTAATAAATGGGTATAAAGCAGTGGAACTTACGTTCTGAGCTATAGTTACATTTTAGTTCACCGCTTCTTTAATTTTCTAAGTATGATCAAGAAGTGAAGGTCTGTGTCCAAGGCAAATAGAGATATTGGTCATATTTTGCTTTTTTAAAAATTATCTTCTTCTGACCTTAAAGTGGCAAAGATTTAATTATTTAGGACTTAATTTATCTATGGAGGAGTACTGTTATGAAGTAATATTTTGAGGTAATTTTGTGTGCATCACCACTTTGGAGTATTTGGAATAAACAAAAGATAAATTAATTACCTAACCTTAATGAGCGTACATTACTTTTGCTAAACCTTAGAAAAAAGTTGAAATTTGTGGTGAGTCTGCTGTGAAGGCTATAGTTAATGTTAGCTTTTTACTTTTGCAGTTTGCTCTCTTCATCTTAAAGTTACTTATTATGGTATCCACAGCGAGATGAACTGCAGTTCAAGGAGCAGCTTCAGTCTTACGCTATTTCTGCTTATTTGAAAGTCTTTGATAATTTTTTGTTTTTTAAAAATCTGAATATTGCTGACTTTTTGTGTTTCCTTTGATTAGAGTGTAAGTGGCTAAAACTTTTTTATTCTGTATTATCTAGCTTACACTTAGTAGTTTTGCAGTTTTTAATAAATTAACATTAAACTACTTCTTTAAAATGTCAAGTGGGGTTATGTTCTTCCTTATCTAACTTCTTGTTATATTGTTTTGAATTATATTGTTTATTCCAGTTTATGTATACAGTGTATGGTCTTAGAATTCCAAAACTTTGTGATCATTCCTTTTTTTTTTTCAATTTTATTTATTTTTGGCTGTGTTGGGTCTTCGTTGTGGTGCTTGGGCTTCTTATTGTGGAGGCTTCTCTTGTTGAGGAGTACAGGCTCTAGGTGTGCAGGCTTCCATAGTTGCAGCATACGGGCTCAGTAGTTGTGGCTCACGGGCTCTAGAGCACAGGCTCAGTAGTTGTGGCACACAGGCTTAGTTGCTTTGTGGCAGGTGGGATCTTCTCGGACCAGGGCTCAAACCCGTGTCCCCTGCATTGGCAGGCGGATTCTTAATCACTCCGCCACCAGGGAATTCCCTGTGATCATTTCTGAAGTAGAGGAAGAAAGGATTATATAGAGTTACCCCTTACCATGAGTAGTAAAACTTAAGAATTGGGCAAAGGTAAAAATATGTACAATAATTGCTTTAAAAGAATGTGTTAGACATATTTAAAGCCCCAATCATTTTAGAAACTAAAAATTCATCTGGATTAGAAAAAACCATCTTCATGGCACTGTGCACCCATCTTAAAGAGTGAAGGTGAACATGGAGATCTGGCGTGTTCTGCCCTGGCCACAGCGTGAGTTCTCATAGTGGAGCCAGGAAGGCTTCTCACTCCCCCGCAGACCCACCCTTCCTGGGGGCCTGGGACTCAGCTCTAAGGCCTGTTGGGGCAGCGCCACATTCTAACGGGCAAACCGCTTTACAGGAACTTGTGAACTTGTTCACACAGGTTTTTATAAAGATAAGTATCTTTTGCTGTGAAAAAGCCTGTTTTGTTTTTTTAGAGCACTTTAAGTTGTATCTCAGTGCAGAATAATTCAGAAGCATCCTTCTGCTTTTCCATCACAAATGTTCCCTGGGAGTAATTCAGTCTGTCTTGTGGGCCTCTTTGCAGTTGTGTCTGAGTCCACATTTTTAAAGTAGTTCATAGGTGGTCAGAGTGTGACGGACACCTGGAAGCAGCACCTCAGACCATTTGCTCAGTATCATCAACTGCATGCCCTTCTCCCCATACTCCTCTGGAAATGCAGTCGGCACGAGTCTTGGCCGTGACCGAGTGTTGGCCGTGACCCTAGTTTCTGCTGGTCGAGTCCGGGCGGTTTGTGTCTGGGAAGCTTCCCACCGCTCACTGCGCGCTTTGCCCCCGCCCCTCCTAAAGGCGTCTGAAGGGCACCGGAGGCACAAAAGCACTTTTACTTGTGGAGGGACCGCGTTGCCGGTTTGGGTGGGATATGAACTTTCAGAAGGAAGGGGAAGGTGAGGGTGTGAGGTTGAGCAAGGCCTTCTTTCTTTTGGAAGCTTGTATTGTATCCTGCCCTTCTTTTAAATTTAAACCCAGTCAGTGGAGCCTGTTTATTTAACTTGTGGAAGAGTGGGTCTCTCCGTTGTGCATCTGTTTTAGTCTTTCACTGTATCAGGAATCATTTGAAGGCTCATCCTGAGGTGGTGGAACAGTGGATTGTGTTTTAAGCCTTTATACTAAAAATAAATTTAGATACATTTTTAGGGCTTTGCTAATAAATCAGTGTTTAAAACAGCTCTATAATACCACCCATTTTTCTTTTTCACTTGGTTTTACGGTTTCAGTATTCTGATTAATTAAATTATTCTAATTTAATTAAAAGCTGAAAAGCCATCTTTTATCTTAGACAATTTAGAAACCAAACTCTTTTTTTTTTTTTTTTTTTTGAGAGTCATATAGTCATTTAATAATAAACAGCAGAATGCACCTGTGGTAAATGCTGTAGAACCGAGGGTATCTTTTAAGGTTTCATTGGAACATTTTATATGTTTGACATTAGCACACTGGGGGGCAAAAAGCATGGAGAGAGAAAAGCTGTGGCGTTAAGAAGGAATGGTAATAGCACATTTTTTGTGATTTCCATGCCTTCTCCAGCATCTGCCTACGCTTCTAATCCAATCAGGGCAGCTTGTTTGTGTGTAGCTTTTAGCAGACACAGAGTCTCCGCCGACCCTGGTAGAACACATGATCCACATTTGAAGCAATTTTTGTATAAATGATTGTGCTGCTAACCTCTGAGGGTCATTCGGATATTTTCTGAGAAATTGGCTGCTTTAACTTCTTTCTCAGAATGCCATGTGTTTCATTTGGGGTCAGGACAGATGACAGCTAAAAACAAAACTTTTTTTTTTTTTTTTTTTTTTTTTTTTGCAGTACGCGGGCCTCTCACTGTTGTGGCGTCTCTCGCTGCGGAGCACAGGCTCCGGACGCGCAGGCCCAGCGGCCACGGCTCACAGGCCCAGCCGCTCCGCGGCATGCGGGATCCCCCCGCACCGGGGAACGAACCCGCAGCCCCTGCATCGGCAGGCGGACTCTCAACCACTGCGCCACCAGGGAGGCCCTAGAAACCAAACTCTTTGTGTTTAATTAGCATCTTCCTCGTGCACTTATAAAAGAAAGTGAGAATTATTTGCTGTTTGTGTCATACAGGAGCAGAGCGACAGCCCTTTCCTAGTGCAGGGCCGGTGCCGAGCCCATGCTCAGTAACCTCATCTATTTACAAGTGTTGTCTTTTGTTTCCTCCCCTGCCTTGGACTCTTTTCCTCCTGATAATATGTGGTTGGTATGAATTACCAAAAATAAAAAAGCACAAGTTCCCAAATAATAAGAATAATTAGCGTTAAGGGTTTGGGGTATACCTTCCTAAGTTTTTTTTCTTTTTTGAAAATTTGGATATTTTGTCTGATGGTTTGGATTTGTGGGAGAGGATGTGTAAGGTACACAGGTAGGCAAGCATTGGAAGTGGGGGGATTGTGGGGTTCTTCCGAGGCCTTCGTAAGGACTTCGTTCCTGCTATGTGAGATCCAGCTGCACCTATGTTGTGTTGCTGTAACATTTAACATTTTCTATTCAGTGATTTATGCATCTTCAAGACATGCTGTCTTATTTTTTTTTTTAACTTAAACACATTCGCTCAGTAAATTACCATCACAATTTCAGATTGTCTCCAGCTTCAAGACCACCACGTCCAGGGCAGTGTGCCAGCTCGTGAAGGAGTACATCGGCCACAGGGATGGCATCTGGGATGTCAGTGTGGCGAGGACGCAGCCTGTGGTGCTGGGGACCGCGTCTGCCGGTGAGTCCACACCAGCCTCACTGCTGGCAGCCGTGGCCTGCCCTGGAAGCAGAAGTGGCCGAGTGGCGTTGAAACCTAAGCATGTAGAGGAGCCTGCCGTCAGGAGCCCCAGGGTGGCATTAGAGAGACCCCCCTTTCTCCTCATTGGAGAGGAGATGCTTTTGAGAGCTAGTTAAGGTGTGTAACATAATAACCCTTCAGAAAAAAATTCCTAAAATTAAAAATGTGCTCACTTGTGGAAAATGACTGCCAGCCTGTGAAAAGTTACTCACTAGCTCCTACCTTTTATAGTGGAAATAGGAAATGCTAACGTCATTAGAATGATGAAGAAAGTTCTTTCTTTTGTTTAAGACTGTGTTCATATGTGAGCACCCCAGATTGTTTTGGAAATTACAGTTTAAGAAAAGAATACAGAGACCCTTTTCTGATATTTCTGAAATCTCACTTGGATAATCGGCATTTTGTTTCAGGTTTCCCTTATTAAGTCTCCTTTTTACCTTTTTATTACTGTGCCCAGAGAGGAGAGGTCCAAAGAGCATGTATTATCTCAAATAATTTGTAACTGGATTTGGATGCCACTTGCATTTGAATATAGCTTGAAATTCTGAAAAGTCTTAATATTTCAACAAAATAACGAGCCCTTGACTCAAGTGACCCCTGTGTCCCAAGTCCCCAGCCTGGTGCCAGCAGTGCACAGTGCCTAGGCATTCAGGTCTCTGGGTTCCCCCTGCCGGTTCTGTGGCCTCGGATGGGTCACTGACCTCCTATCCTCTCGGATCAGTTGGATCACAGAGGAGTTTGAGCACAGTTGCACAAGGTACTGGTGGTGATGTAACTTCCCAGTTTTAGGATTTTTATCTTCCTCTTTCATTAAAAAGACCATAAAATCGGCAGCTCACTCATGTTCGTTTCAATCTTGCAGATCACACGGCTCTGCTGTGGAGCATTGAGACGGGGCGGAGCCTCGCCAAGTACACGGGCCACGTGGGGTCAGGTGAGCAGTGGGACCACGGGGCGTCCTCTCCCAGGGAGGGCCGGGCCTCTGCCTCTGACTGTGTGAGCTTCACGAAGGGGCAGCTCAGCTCCCTGAACAGCGTTGTCCCAAGGGCGGCGTAGAAAGCTGGCCACCTGTGCACACTTTGGAGCTGGAACATGTGCACTAGCATCACGAGCTGTGTTCCATTGGGAGGCTCCTCGGGTGCAGAGGTGCTTTGTGTGTCAGCCCCTGGGATCCTGGTGGGTGTGGATGTGGGGCTTTTTCCTGTGGGCACTGGTGGGTAGATGTCTCTGTTCCTCCCAGTGCCCCGGCTCCAGGCCATGTGTCATGCTGCCCCCGGCTCACTCACCCCTCACCCCTGCAGACAGGCTTGGTGGTGGTGTCCGCCCTCCACCTCCAGGGATAGGTGTGTCCCCCACGGACTTGGGTGAAACCCCTTCCTCTGCGTGTCTTCCGTCCTGTTGGGGGAGGGAGTACCTGCTGTCCCGTCAGGGCAGTGGCCAGGCTCCTCCTTCTCTTAGGGCACCTGCTCTTGTCTGTCCCTGTCGCCTCAGCGTGAGAACCAGCTCCTACCTTCCCACATGGAATGTCCCTGCCCCACATACACTCCTGCCTCATCTGCCGTCCCCTCCAGCTGGGACCCACTGTCTTCCCCCAGGTCTGTGTCTGGGTGGCTGCTGCTGCCTGCAGTGAATGTGACAGGCTAAATAGACAACCTAAAAATTAAAGTGTTAACCAGCCTGTATAAAAAATTAACAGCAGTCTCCTGCCCATCCCTCCTCACTCCTCATTTTCACTTCTCAAAAGGTGACCACTTTTAACAGTTTTAAATAGTTTGCTTTTTTCTTCCATTTAAAAAACTAGTCCATCTTATGATTTCTTAATTTTGGAGTTTTCTACAAGGAAGTGACTCTTATTAAGGAGAAGGAGATTGGCTCGCTTCCTCCCTCCATCCCTCTGTGCTCCTTGTCATTGTGAATGGTTACGGCTCAACTTCCATTTAAATGGATGTTCCGGTTTTACCTACTTGTGGCTACATCCATATAGTTCACAGCTCCCAAGCACGCACCTTACTTGCAATCCCCAGTTTTGCTTCCTCTGAAGGGAAAAGTGGCCTTTTATTTTGGCCTTGTTCCGTGCAGATCTGCCTGACATGTGGCATTCCTTGCATGTCTGTGTTCCTTTGCTGTCACTCTGGCCCCTCCCTGAAGCCTCCCCTCCCTCTGACAGTTGGTACCCAGGACTGTAGCACAGATGCCTGCAATCTACCTCCTGTGTCCTCCTGGGCTTTCTCTCCACCTCTGTCCTCTGTTACATCCTGTCTTCTGGACCCTGTTCTTTCTCTTTCTCCAGGGAAGCCTTTCAGTAGCTTCCTTCTTAAAGGGTCTTACAGGAAAAATTTTGAGACTGTAAAATGCTTGAAGAATGTATTTTATCTTTACACTTGATGGGTGGTTTGGCTGAGTATAGTCTTCTATGTAGGAAGTACTTTTCTTTGAAAGATGAAAGTAGTGCTCTGCTGACCTGTTTGTTTTTTTTCTTTTTAAAAATTTTTTAATTTTTTTGTTTATTATAAATTTATTTACTTATTTATTTTTGGCTGTGTTGGGTCTTTGTTGATGCGCAAAGGCTTTCTCTAGTTGCGGTGAGCAGGGGCTTCTCTTGTTGCAGAGCTCGGGCTCTAGGTATGTGGGCTTCAGTAGTTGTGGTGTGTGGGCTCAGTAGTTGTGGCATGCAGGCCTAGTTGCTCCATGGCATGTGGGATTTTCCCAGACCAGGGATTGAACCTGTGTTCCCTGCATTGGCAGGCAGATTCTTAACCACTGCGCCACCAGGGAAGTCCCTGACTTGTTTTTTCATAGCTTTTAGGATTGATATTAACAGTCTAATAATGCTCTTTTGAATCTTGGTCCTTCATAGGTAGTTGGATATTTGTCTCTGGAAGACTTTAGGATTTGTCTTTTAGGTCTTCTTAAAAAAGCATTGTGTTGGACATTTGGTGGGACTTGGCAGTCTAGAAATGTACCCCCATGTCCACTCAGTCACCTGCAATCACCCCCGTGTCCACTCAGGTGCCATTATCCCTGTGTCCTGTTGGCCCCGTGGTCACCCGTGTGTTTGTACCCTGGTGTTTCCCGGGTGCCTCTTCTCACTGTCTTCTGTCTCTGTTGCTATGAGTTTGTGCCTGTTTCTTTCTAGACTTGTCGTGCACTTAGAGGAGTCTGAGGAGAGAGCAGAGCACAGGCTGCTTTGGGCACTGTCTTTGTCGTGTTTACACCCTGCTTTTGCCTTTTCCACCTGGTGGTGCTGATTGTGTGACTGAGTTACTGTAACAGAGGAGTGTGGAGCCCTGGGGTTTTTAATCAGCACAGCTCCCTGCAGGTGGGTTGACGTGCCTAGTGCCTGCCTCCTTCCTCTTGGGTCCTCTGAGCAGAGTGTGCCCACCTGTGGACTGGCGGAGCTGCCTCCAGAGAGGAGGTGCCCGAGGTTTGTGCCCTTTCCCCCCACGCACCCCCCAACCCCTGGCGTTAGGGAGCCGAGTGGAGCCGGCCGGGTGCGGGCATGTGTCTTGTTAGACACACACGATCTTGGAGCTTGTTATAAGGAACTGTGGTCTCTGGCCCCCTCTCTTCTATTCCTTCTATTCTTCTATTCATGTGGCTGCTGTGAGTGACATTAGCTGTGCTGTGGTGGGGCTGTGGGTTGGCCCGACCCACTGACTTTGGGCTTTAAGGCCTCGTTGCACCCACACGTGCTGGGGTCCCCCCGCCCCACGTAGTGATGTGCTGTTAACGTCTGTGTAAACAGTACTGAGAATAAACTGGCCCTGCAGCTGGTGGTCATTGGCGCCCATCATTTGCCGGATTCTTGGCTAAGCACGTTGCCTGCGTTCTTCACTTAAACCTCGTGGTCATCCGTGAGTATTACAAATGTTCCTGCTTGCAACACTGATTTGCTGGAGTTCACATAGACACCAGAAAGTAACAATTGATGGTTGAAATTGGGAGCATTAATACTGTTTGTTAGTAGTGTTTATTTGGGGCATTTTCTATTTAACATTTTTAAGGCAGTCACAGTTTTCACCGGCTTTTCCCACAGTTCTCTCTGGTCTAGTGTTAATAGTAAAAGAGCATCTTCTAGCATTTTTCAGATTCTTAGAAAAGTGTCAATCTAATGGCATACCTGACAGAGTCTTAGTGGAAGAGAGAACTTGCTGAGGTTTGGGAAGCTTCCTGTACGTCCTGTGTGGGCTGTGGGGGGTGTGGGCTGGCTCTCCAGTGCCTTGGGTTGGCCTGTGTTGGGGTGACAGGGAGCTGCCGACTGGGAACAGTGACCTCCACCCTTCCAGTCTCTCGTTGTCTGCCTGAGGAGAGCTCCTTGGCAGGCGGGCAGGCTCAGGACCGGTCAGTCTCCGGGCAGCGTTGTCATGGGGCTGGAGCTTCCCCAGGACACCTCGGGCAGATTCCTGCATCTGGAGAGGAGACTGGGAGGGTATCATAACTGTCCTCATCTGGTCCCGATCCATTCCGATCCGAACTGTCCCTAGGCCATCAGGGGCTTGCCTTTTCTGAGTTCCTGAGTCTTCTGGAACAGAACAGACTGGGTTTTTGGAAGGGTGGGCTTGTGGGCAGCTGGGTAGGCAATAAACAGTGTGCACCACCATAATCTGCCTCTGCTTGTTATAATTACGTTTTCTTTTTTCATCCTGGTTTATTTTTAACTCTAGGTGACTTCCCTATGTATAAAAAATAGATTGTTAATATCCTTTTTCTGTGTAGCCTATTCTTGAGCAGTTTGATAGTTCATATTTACTTACTTTGTATTGTACCTCTCTTCTTTTTTTTTTGGCCATGCCATGTGGCACTACCTCTGCTCTCTTTAACTTACATGTTTAACTGAATTAGGATATTTAATATTGAACTATCATAGTTCCTTTAGTTTTTAAGTTTAACTTTGTAATACATGCTGTAATTATAATAAATATTGATGATATTTTAAACCTGTTTCTGTAATATTTTTATTTTGCAGTAAATTCCATTAAATTTCATCCATCAGAACAGTTGGCTCTCACCGGTATGTTGATTTTGGTTTTTTATTTATTGAACAGTTATTGCTGATCTGAAAACAGCTGTCATCATTCCTTTCTCATCAGTAGCATCAGGCTTAGCCACACCTTTCACAAAAGTTAGTCGTTAGTAGACATTTTACAGATTGCATGAGAAATGAATAAAGAAAACTATACTGAGGGGTACTTTTTTTTTTTAATGAGTAGTGGATTGCGAATTAGGTGACCTTGACTTTATGTCAGCTTGAACTTGGCCGTGTTCTCCTGGAGTTGTTTTTATGAAGCCCGTCCCTGCCACCCGCTCTTC